GTGTGGAGACTGAATTCGATTTCACCATCAATCAGGGTAGATGTAGTATCTAGGAATACGTTTTTCGAATTAGATACGTCTACTGTAAATTTGATCGACTGATGAAAGGTGTTGGCAAACGTAATGAATGCCTCGAGGCTCTCGCGACATTCCACCCACTTCATCTCTATATCGTCAATGAAACGCAACCAGCTATGGGGCCTAAATGGTGCTTGAAGTAACAAGTTGCATTCCAGTGTGCCCATGAAGACATTGGCATAAGACGGTGCCATTTTCGTACCCATAGCAGTGCCATTAACCTGCAGGTAATGTTCTCCATTAAACATGAAGTTGTTGAACTTGAGAACATGTTCAAGGAGCTTTGCAAGGGACTCTGTAGAAGGAATTTGTATGGATCTACTATCCCAGACTTCTCTACAGGCTTCGATACCCTCATCGTGCGGAATATTGGTGTACAAAGATGTGACGTCCATAGTCACGAGGAGGGTATGATTTGGGAGGCCAGTAGAGGGCGTCTTGTTAATGTAGTCCGTGGTGTCCTTGAGATAGATATATATATATATATATATATATATTAAAATGCAATATGTTATAATACACAATACACGGTTTATAAGGAGTAAACATCAATGTCGATGCAAGATGAACGGGAGAGGACTGACATTATATTAGAATGAAATTTGAAGATGACGAACAAATATCAAGTTCAAAAATATATTTAAACAATACATTTCAAGAGTAGGACAAACACGGATCCAAAGAAATGTAGGATCGGGAGCCATGGAGGAGAACACATCCCCTGTGTACGGGTCAAACTCAACCTATGCTCAATGTTATTACTTTGACAAATTTAACCTGAAAATCTGTATAGAAACATAATAAAAGCCTTAAGCCATCTTTAAAAAAAAAATGAAAAATGTTTGATTGGCCCCCCCCCCCCCCTCTCTACAAACTGACTAAAATTGACCCGATTCAATACTCTTTTTTATAAGACAGGATATTTTTTTTTCTTTTTATTCCTTTTATCCTGTCAACAAATATGTTGAGATTTTCCGGCTAAAAGATTCTCCCAACCACCTAAGGACCCAAAGATTTTACCCTGAGGCGGGATATGGCAAACAGATTTTTTTTTATAGAGGGTCTAACAATTAGTATGAAAAATGTAAGTTAAAATTCTACGTCGAGATCAATCGAATCTATCATTTGAAGTTCCTTGAGATATAGCGAGCCAACATATGAATATAAGTGCAGTATATTAATGCTTTGTTGATGTACCTTAAAGTCAAGATGAAAGCCACAACAAGTGTTTTTCCTTCTAATGTAAGATTCTTAATAAATACAAAATAAGTCTGCTAAACATTGGGCGTAAAAAGTCTCAAAGAAATAACCACAGATTAATAGATGACCTGGTCTTCAAAAACTACATAGAAATTGTCAATAGGAAACTAAAGCATCTTTTTAATGCCAAAGTCAGAGTACTTATGTACATGTACATATATTCAATCAAAATGCTTTAAAATAATTTTGCAAATTATCAAAGACAAGGTTAATAAATTTACGAGTTTTATTTTCATTGAAAATACAACTTTCTCTGAAATGAAAAAACCTTAATTTTGGTGGAGAATGAATGTTTCATGTGTAGACGAGTCGTAAGTTTTTTTTGTTATAAATTTTGGTAAGGTTTTTTAATTTTACTTTTCTAAAGGCTCGAAGAAATATGGTTGAAATATTGCCGACTAGGCGTTAAAATGTAATTCATCATTCAATTCTTGGAGGTTTAAAGTATCCAAATTCCACATTTCCTGAAAATGTTGTTCTTCAGTACTCCTGAAGTTTCTCATTGACGCCTGTTTATATTTTAGCGACGAGTAAAAATTAAGGCTTTGTAGAACATCAACTGGAACCTTTTGTGTATCTTTGTTTGTAAGAATTTTTATGAAATTAAGGACCAGTATTGGTATGAAAATTCAAATTCATTGTTTTAATGTTCAAATTATTTAAATTTGACATCTTAATTTTGAGGAATTTACTCATTATAAAAGGAGTTATAGGTATAAACTACAGTTTATAAACTACAATTGAACTTCCGTATCTCGAACTCCGATATCTCAATAACCATGTTGATTTTAACTTGTAGAATCAAATCACCATTTATAATTTAAAAAATGAGTCTCATAATCAAAGATAATGTTGATACCTGCTTTTTCAGCTCGGACCAGAATTTACATATCGTGAAATCTATCTTATTTTTTTTCCACTTCTATATTATTGAAAACCAAAGGATAGATGACTTTTAATTGTGGTTTAAGAGCACATGGTGTGTAATATCAATAATCACAGCTCAGAGCTTACATAATATGTTTTTGTCATAGAATCAAAATATGAAGGTCTTTTAAATTTACTATTTGAAATTTCAAAGGAAGAGACTAAAGTTTCTGGCGAATGTGATTAAAACTATAAAACTGTATATTTGCATTAGGTAGTTTTGTATCAATAGTCTGTTATGGGATTGCTATCAAACTGTTCCCATGACAACAGTTAAGTCTATTTATATTGACAAAAAAGGCCTACCACCTCCAAACTTCTACACCGTGGACTTGAAATTACGCTACTGGCATTGTCATTGTCACCATATGGATAGGCCGCACAATCTGTCTTCAATACCCTAGGAATATAATAAATATGTTCAAAACAAAGACAAACAAGTGATGATCAGATTGGATCAAATTTACCCTATCAACATTAATTAAAATTGTTTTTCTATTTTAATTCGTGTATACTGATCAACTTTTGATTTGATTTTAGCAAGCACCCTTCACAGACGAGGACATAATGTACCTTTAATAAACTGCCCGTCTTGTGAGCACCACATCTGTGACGTCAGTAACACCATCCAGTGTGAAGTTTGTCAAATTAAAGTTGAACATCACGGACAACCTCCGATAGATACAAAATGTTTTCATGTACGTAGCAATTATCATTTTAAACTGTTAAACCTGCTGGAAAAAACTTATATTCATTGTTAATTTGATGTAAATGGATTCGTCACTGGTCAGCTTTTGGACAATTTCAGTCATATCCTATAATATAAAAATTGTAAATAACAGCTTGAAATTAAACCGAAATTTTTCAAATCTAAATACATTATTTGACATAAAATTCATTTTAAAATCAAATTAGAATTAAACCTTCACTAATGGAATAAAAACAAAATTTATGAAATATGGTGAAAACGAACAGTATTCAAATTCCATTTATAGTATACAAAATGAGGTCAGAGAAAACGCGGACCTCTAAAAACAGCTTATATGAGCCGTCAAATTACAAGAAAGAGTAGCTCTATTATGTATGCTGAATTATTTGACTTTAATAGTATAAATACAAGTATTATTTTGTACATGAACAGCTTTGTCAACAGCAAAACGCATGTAGTTGTAATATAAATTAGTACATGTACAAATCTCGAGACAAAATACACTTGAGAGTATGTAACATTCTTAGATTTATTGTGAAGATTTCTGTTAACTGAGACGGAGACTGAACAAAACTACGTGTGTTTTTGTTCTCTTATTTTTGATAGAGGGTGTGTAAATACATGTGCATGATGTATGCCAATTCTTTTAATGATATTTAAACAGCAAGACTGATTTTACTTTTACATACAATGTCAATAATCTTATCTGTAGGATTTTTTCATCATTGAAGGAATATTTTGTGAGAGTCTTTATTCAGATTCCCTAGTAAATCAGCTCTATATTTAGGTAAAACGTTCATGTATTTCCTCATCCTTTCTTCCTTCGTTCCAATGAGAAAAAAAAAATAATGAAAAAAGTGATATGGAAACAGGGCAAAGCATGCATTCGGAATTATCATATTGATCAGTTGATTCGATACACAAGAGCATGCTCTACGTGTGAACAATTTCTAAAACGAGGTAAATTAATGACAAACAAGTTGATGAAACAAGAATTTCAGAAGTCTCGTTTAATACAAATACAATTTGTCATTGAGTTGAATGCTGACTGACGGTTTTCATACTTATTGTTGTTCCATTATTAACACACTGAATAGACGACGGATTTTCCCGTTATTTCCCGATCATAACATGGAGCACACGGTGGGTTTGACTTGTCGGTAGGGGATGCTCAGTCCTCCATGGTACCTGGTCCAACCTCTAATATTTTGGAGGTCCGTGTTTGCTCTTCTCCTATTTTGTATTGTTTTATATATTTGACTTTAATACTGTTCGTTATGTCCATATTAGGTTTCATGAGTAGATCATGCACTTTGGTATTGAATCAAATGAGCCGAGATTATTTTTTTGCGGTGAAAGGATGTTGAGATGAAAGTAAAATTGCAATTTTAGTTTTTTCATGGTTTCATCTTTGGTCTAAATATTGTATCCAGGGTTATTTTCACCACATATGCTATTTATTTTTTTTAACTTTTCAATTCAAAATTTTGCGTTATTACATTGTTTTGATCTGTAATTTGCAGATTAGGCCCAATATCTTCATATTGATATCCCAAATTTTCGTCTTTTTGTATGCTCTGATTTTTCTAAAACAATTCCAACTTACTATATCACTAATGTAAGCTTAGGAATTCATAAAAAACCCACTATATTGTGTTGATGAAACATATTTAATGCCATTTACAGGCTGGACATTGTCACTCGGACGATCATCATCACTGCTGTGATTCTGAAGCTTGTCTTGGTAAATACTTTTCACTTCTAGTTACCTTTTCAACTTTTTTCAAACGAAAATAGAGCCAAGGTCATTTTAGGTTCTTTATTTCAGCTTCCTTTTTTAGGGAATTGCACATTACCAACACCACAACCCAACAAATAACTTATACAGGTGATGTCTTTGTCTCAAAAAGTAAAAAAAATGCATATGCATAAAAACTTCAATACTTAAATAAAAGCTGATATTTCCTCGATCACTTTACGCTACAATGTTCCTGGATTTCACATTTCCTTGCTGTTTATTATACAGATTCTATGGCACACTGCCCCACCTGCCACGGAGGTTACTGTGACTTTGTCAATCGAGACACGTGTCACATGTGTAAATTTGACTTACATGAGGGACAATTACCTCATGTTCATTGTTTGAAGGAAAATGTAGGTCAATATTCTTTCCCGTCTTGATTTTAAATATTTCAAGTACTTGGTACATGTTCGTAGATATATACATGAATTTTTTCAAAACACAGATGTAGGCGAGATGAGAAACGTAAAATTTGAATTAAACGCTCAGTTAGTGAATTATATAGTTAATTATAACAATAACTTAGATGCTATACATTTCAGACTCAGAATTGTTAACACCCTCTTTATATGACTATTCTACATGATGTGTGTTGTAGGAACATTGCAACGTTAACCACAACACGCTCTGCTGCAGTGACGAGTCCTGCATAGGTATCTCTACTTTTATTCCATCCACTTACACTATTTAACATGTATTTACTGATTCTTGATCAAAATTATTCTTTCATATTAATTCACAAACTAACTTAATTGTTTCGTCGTTTATTCCTTACAATTATTTCATGTATTTCTTTATGTATATAAGAAAAAGGTTCATTTTCCAATTGAAAGTATTTCAAATAGTTCAGCTATTGTTTGTGAATGGCACTCATATCCTGTCATTTCTGATCAGCCTTTGAATACTATAACCTACAGCTTTCATTTAGTTTTATGTTTCTTCAAAGGACTTTTCAACCAAGCGTATTCATTATACGTATTCATTATAATTGTAGCACGTGCATTTGGATCTTTTTATCCCAGTGCTTCATCTATACGTCCTACTACAAGCAAAGAAATCCACATTACTGGTACAGTGCTGTTACCGATATGATGCTTGAAATATCTTGTATTCACAAATCCTTGGTTTAGTTATTCATTACTTTGTATTTGACATTTATTTTATCTCATACGTGTGGGTGATACAGGCCGTTGGATAAACTTATGCTTTATCCACGGGTAGATGCTTTATCAACAGCACCTCCGGTTTTGACACGATCCCTCGCTTCAAGATTTTATTTTATTGAAATTGTATTTGTGAAAATTATTGCCCTTATAAAATGAATCATAAAGGGCAATAATATCGTTAAAGCAAGAAAAAGACTCGTATATGTCAAAGAAGTGTCTTATTTTATCAAGGAACCTGTATTGGCTATTTGAATACAAATGTTTTTTAAATCGTTTTCGGAAAAGGTAAAGACTAGCAGTAGGTTGTTGTTATAAGATTCCTTTAACATTTGCAATAATGCTTTCTTATATTATACTACGTATGCCTACCTAGTACATGTAATGTAGGTGTAAATTACCATGGATCAACAATGATTCTACAAGTAGGGAGACCTATGCCACCGTACAAAGAGTTAATTTTCACGATCCCATGGTCCTTACAACTTTCAGTCAGAAGTTCGTTTGATGTAAAGATCCAGCAAATGTCACATAATGTTTTCATAGACGCAGATAGCAAAAAATTTAACTTTGAACACGATCTACTTTCTTTCGAAGCATGTCAACATCAACAGTGCAACGTCATCAAGTTATACGTCATCAATTTGAATTGGCAATCATTCATGTAGTTTTCGGGGGAAGTCTCAAAGTTTTGTTAAAACGAAAGTCGTATGAGATAAATAGAACATCTATAATTGTGTGATTTGATATTTGCTTTATCCAACTCGTTGAAATGGTGTATATTCGTTCGGCAAGCCTCGCGAATATACACACCATTTCAACTCGTTGGATAAAGCCAATATCAAATGACAGAATATAGATCCTCTATATATCAGATTTACTGATGTTGCAGATCCCAGTGTTCATTGCCCCCATTGTCATGGAGGATTCTGTGACTTTGTGAATCGTGACACGTGTCACATGTGTAAATTCCACCTACATACCGGACAGTTTCCAGATGTCCATTGTTTGAAGGGAAATGTATGTACAACAAACTTTCAAATTCAATTCCCTATGAAATATTTAAACTGTTTATAAGATTCATTATAGGATTAAACGTTTTTTCCCCAGAATTTATCGATGTGTAAACTCATGCCTTTTTACTCAAAAAACTGAATTAAAGTGCGAAGCACTTTTATGTTAAGTATGTACGCAAAAAATAAAAATTAAAATTATTTCGCTATTCCTAAAATTATCAATTTCAACTTTCATTTTATAAATGAGTTAAGCAATGATCCATGACTTTATTATTTTTATTTTGTTGTGGATTTGTAAATAAAATTGTTGTGAAACATGGACACTCTGGTGGGCCGGAGAATGTTGTGAAATATGGACACTTTGATGGGCCGGAGAATGTTGTGAATTATAGACATAAGTGCTTTTCTAATTTACCTTTGTCAATATAATCATGTTTATGTAAGTGACTTTTGCCGAACTATGACGTCGCAGTACTATGACGTCATAGACGTTACTATAACGTTATGTTATATACTTGTTGAGTTTCAAGTAAACCACTATACGGTTCAGAAGTGTTTTCTATGAGTGCTACAATCTTGACATTGGTGCCGTGACCAAAGAGGAGAGATGACTTCTAAACTGAAGGCAGTAAGAGCAGGACAGAGAAGTGCTGAAACCAGACTTCTAAAAAGACTGAATGAAGAAAATGCAGATGCAGAGGAAACTGAGGCAATTGGAGACATTGACAGACAAACAGGAAATTCTCATAGATCTGGATGAAAAAATTCTAACAGAAACAGCAGAGGAGGATATTGAGAGAGAAATACTGGAGACAGATAAGTACAATTTCAATCTTAATTCTAAAATGAGAAAATTTAAGAAACATCTGATAGTTCATCGTTCAAATTTGAATCCAGCAGCAAACATTTATTCAAACCAGAATAAAAATTCACAAATTGAAGAGAATAGTCAATCAAGACACAATTTCAGTGAAAATTCAAGAACTCATCAGTCCCTTACAAGCTTTCATTCAAATCCAAACAGTGGTAACTTTCACAAACTTCCGAAATTAAACTTACCCATTTTTGAGGGAAATGTGTTGGAGTGGCAGTCATTCTGGGATTCATTAGATTCGGCTATTCATAGCAACAACACATTGACAGAAGTTCAAAAGTTTAATTACTTAAAGTCTTTAGTAGCAGAAGAGGCATCAAACACCATTTCAGGATTTGCACTCACACATGCAAACTACAACAGAGCGATTGAGCTTCTACATGAAAGGTTTGGACAAAAACATAAGATAACTCAGTCATACATGCAAGCGCTCTTAGACCTACCCGCTCCCAAGAATAATCTCACAAGTCTGCGTCATTTTCATGACCAAGTGGAGACATACGTCAGAGGTTTAGAATCTTACGGACAAGCTGAAGATACATATGGTTCGCTTCTAGTTCCTGTGATTCTTAACAAATTACCTTGTGAATTACGCAAAAATTTGGCACGCGAGCATGGACCTACCGATTGGTTACTAGGCGACTTACGAAAAGCTCTATACAAGGAATTTGAAATACTAGAAACAGGAACTCATATGGACACAACAGAAGACCTTGCTACAGTTATTTTCTACATGAACTTAGAATCCAGTGATGAGCAACCACAACGGAACTACAGTCCTCGGAATCATCAAGTTTGCTGTGCATTTTGCAAGGAGTCGCATCATTCAAGTGGCTGTACAAGATACATAAAACACAATGACCGGATGAAAATTGTCAGACGAGACAAACTGTGCTCTAATTGTTTAGGGAGACATCGTGTTACAGACTATCAATCCAAATCCAATTGCAAAATCTGCAAAAAACGTCATCACACAAGTTTGTGTTCTGCTCATAATGCAGTCAAAACCAAAAGGAGGAATACCCATGCATTACAAGCAAAGGCTGAACTGGATGCAAAGACCAGGGAAATCAAGAATCTACAGGATGAAATCAAGAGCTATAAATGTGTCATTGCAACATTGGAACAACAGATAACAGAGCAGAGGATTTTGACTGAGAAAACCATGAAGGATGTAAACATTTTACATACCCAGTTTGCAAAGCTTCAGACCAAATTTCATGCACAGTCAATTGCTACAAATCAGATGACAGCTGAGAATCAAGCTGAAGAGTTGAAGAAAAAAGAAGTTGAAGTTAATACGCTCAAACAGGAGATACAACGGCTCAAATCATCAAGAGAGACACCTGGTAGGAAACTTCAGCAAGTGGGCGGAAATATTCATTCAGATGTAGAGCAGCAGAGGGAAACTCCTAGAGATCAAATTACTAGTTTGAAGAGGAAATCAGTGATATCTAAGAAACTAGATAATGTTCATAAGAGTAACCTGGAATAGTGTTACAAAGAGGAGACCCAGGAAAGGATGAACATCGTCAACCAACTAGAAAAGGAACGAAACTGCTACATTCATGAGAACAGCAACCTATCTCAGAACTATACAGAGGATAACAAAGTTCATGGCATGCAGTTTGTTGATTTCAAGAGGATTTCCAAGGATGACACCAAAATCAGGCAACAGGAGAACACATTCAAAACACTTCGAGATGTCGAGAGGACATACAGCAAGAACCTCACCGAGTCACGGAATGAGATAACAGAGATGAAGAGGATGAAGACTATGGATCATAAGATTGATCAGCATAAGGGGCAAATTCAAACCAAGGAGAATGCATTCATCAAGGAGTACTTTGGACATTAGAGTGAAGAGAAGGACGATTTTTTGTGAGAGTTTGTTCATATGTGATGGTACCAAACTCAAAGAAATAGAGGAAATCCAAACTTAAACCTAACGGAAGAGCGTTACATTTCATGTGACACTGCGAATAACTTTTAGGGGATCTTTTATTCATCATTCATTTAAATTCCCTTTATTTCTCGGTCCAAGGACTTACTCAATTCGTACTTTGGTGGGCCGGAGAATGTTGTGAAACATGAACACTCTGGTGGGCCGGAGAATGTTGTGAATTATAGACAATAGTACTTTTCTTATTTACCTTTGTCAATATAATCATGTTTATGTAAATGACTTTTGCCGAACCATGACGTCACAATGCTATGACGCCATAGACTTTACTATAACGTTATGTTATATACTTGTTATGATTAAAATAAACCACTATACGGTTCACATGTGTTTTCTATGAGTGTTACAATCTTGACAAAAATGATTCAGGTAATTAAATTTTTTACGTATGATAAAATGTTAGCAGAATTTTACACAATATTTTAAATGTGTTACAGGAACATTGCCATGAAAACCATGACACCCTTTGTTGCAAAGAAGAATCGTGTATAGGTAAATGATTTTAAATTGTTCGTTTTCGTGGGTACAGCAAAGAGTATCTTGTTTTAATGTCCTTTTGGTGAAAAAAGGAATGCGTTTACTTTAAAGGTGCACGTGTATTAGAGATGTTTATATGTATTATAATTGATAAATGAACTCAGAGAGAGAAAGAGAGAGAGAGATTCTTGTTCTGTGTGGAATATCAATTCTTTTTTATTTCATTTCAGCCAATGCTTTCGGAACATATTATCCAAGGACTCCATCGACCTACCCCACCACAGCTTCAAACAAAACAACCTCCACACACCATGTTATGAACCAGCAGAGTATAGTATTATTACTTATTACAAGTCATCATATGACAACTTTATGTCTAGTCAACTCACTAGTTATAAACCAGCGTAGTGAAGTACATGTATTATTAACTTCTTATAAGTCATCATATGACAACTTTATGTTTATGTTTAGTCCATCCACTTATTACACCAAGGTAGTATAGTATTATCATTGACTTCTCCTGAGGAAAGTCTTGTACATGTACGACAATTCTAATTTTGAGTAAAGTGCTTCAACCATGTAAGGAGAAGTTTTATTAACTTCTTTTAGTGTCAGCCCTTGTAACAATTCTTTTGTCTCAGCGCTTTTACTTAAATTACATTTTACAAGATACTCTAATATCATGTGCATATATATATGTATTCTGTATTTGATGTTTCATCCCAATGAAGTGAGCATTCAACTTAATTTTAAATTTCAGGAAGGTATGTATCCTGTCCAATATGCAGTCACGGCGTCTGTGATCCTTCTAGAAGTTACACCTTCTGTACAGGATGTGTTTATCATGAGGATCATAAAACCACAACATGTATAAAGGTTTACATTGAAAACTTATAAATCAAACGCTGTATAGTTTTTATTGTATTGATACATTTGAAGACATTCGTCAAATACAACACATTATTATATAGTCTATTTATACTCCCTATATAATCTATACAAGCGCAAACATTTCATAGTATACAGGTATTGACTGGGTATGAGGGCAACAAATGATTTGTTGGACCAGAAGGTGAAAATGTTGCCCAAGGCGGCATGCCAAGGGCAACATTTTCACCTTCAGGTCCAACAAATCATATGTTGCCCGAATTCCAGTCTATAACTGTTTTGTTAGACCCTTCAGTGCTTACTCAAGATTTAATCAATGTGTTATCAATTACTTTATATAGAAAATCAAAATCATGGCTTAATCAGTAAATATAAAACAATAGCTGAGAAAGAACAAAATTAATTCTACTTTTATTATATCACAATAATTATTTATCACAAACACCCCCTTTCCTTCTTCCTTATCTTGCTGGTAGCAATAATTCTTGCAGCTTTTAACTTCGGCTATTTCCGTGTTCCCGATATTGATCGATGATTAATTACTTGTGACGTAGCAGTGACGTTGGGGTCTAACAATTCTTATGTTGGACCAGCAGGCCGGTATTCAGTGAAATTGTTAGACCGATGTAATAAACATTTCTTTTGTTGGACTTTTAGTAGTAATAAATATATAGAAAGCTATTTAGAAGGGTATAACAATATACAATTATTGCTGTGTTTTGAGGTCAATACAATGATTTAGCCATCTGAGGAGTACAATATTCACCGAGCCCGGAGGGCGAGGTGAATATGGTACTTCGAAGATGGCTAAATCATTGTATTGACCGAAAAAAACAGCAATAATTGTTTTATTATATGATTCACTAATAAAATGATAAAACCCATTACTTGTTTGCATTTGATTAAGTCCTATCCAAATACAATTAAGAGAGAAGCAGAATTAAAATGTTAATAAACCTTACAGGTCGTATTTATTTTTTTGTTAAGTTTTTTTTAAAATCAATTTTAGTTGCCATGAAAAAAAATTATGTCAGTCTTTTTTCTAGTATAGAGTTTTAAAGGAAGGAGTATTATCAGGGAAAACTGACTGCCAAAAAGTAAAAATTGTTTTTCAGTAAAAGTGTTGGAGGAGTGTCCATGCATCCCCTCTTATCACCCTCACCCGAAAATATATATTCGCTTAACTTATCTTCACATGAAAAAAAGTTATAGTAGTTTAAATAGCTTTCCAAATTCAATTTGTATCAATTTGGAATATCCCGATCTATTTTTAGATCAATGTCAAGGAAATAAATCCTTGTATTGACCTGGAACGTCACGTGCAGGTCAATACAACGTAGTATTTTTCTAACATAGTTGGATCTCAGCCAATCAGAGAGATGAAAACTATTCAATCATATAATAATACTACATATTCACTGTATTTGAGGCCGTATTCACCGGGGAGTCATTGCGCGTTCAGCGGCATTGTGACGTCACAATCAACACCTCAAATAACGTTATAATGATTGATTGATTGATTGTATATTGTTTTACGTCTTTCGAGAATTTTTCACTCCTACGGAGACGTCACAGTATGCCGGTGAAGGGCTTAAAATTTACTCCTATACTCGGCACTTAGGGCCATTGAGCAGTGAGGGTTCTTTATAGTGCCAGCGCCTACCTTGACACGGGACCTACGTTTGTAAGGTCATATCCGAAAGATCCATGACTTTCACTTCTGATGCCGAGCGCTTGGCGAAGGAACAGTCACTACCTATTTTTACGTCTTAGGTTTGACGCGGCGCCGCGAACGAGAATCGAACCCGGGCCTCCCGATCACGAAGCAAACGCTCTACCACTAGGCTACCGTGAATGGTCAAACAACATTATAAACAATAGTAATATTTTCCACCCTCACACAAAGTCAAAGCAGAAGTACTTTTTTAAAAAAGTCTTTTTTTTTATAGTAGTATAACATTATTTTTTAACAGCACGGGCATGAACAAGAATGTAAAGACAGGGATAAACAGATTTGCTGCCTCACTGACGAGTGTATAAGTAAGTACTAGATAACACAACAAAAGTAACTTAGGTAAAAGGAATAAAACCCCGTCTTTTCCCAACTTAACAAGCCAGATGTTCAAGGAAAGACTGATTGATTGAATATTGTTTAACATCCCTCTCGAGAATTTTTCACTCATATGGAGACGTCACCGTATACATGTACCGGCGAAGGGCTTCAAATTTTGACCTTTACTCAGCACTTAGGGCCATTGAGCAGTGAGGGATCTTTATCGTGCCAACGCCTGCCGCTGACACGGGGCCTCGGTTTTTAAGGTCTCATCCGAAGGACCCTTCAAGGAAAGAAGAAATTTATTTAAAATTTATCAGTCTTAAAAAATTGATAATTATCTACCCTGACCTAAAAATAACAATCAATTTTAATTAGTAAATAATATACAAGTATTTACATCGAATTTTTCTTCTAACAAAAACTAAATAGTATCTGTGAAAAATTAATTATCTGTTTTGAATAAAGATTTCAGCGTCTAATAAATTGAATTTCCTTGAAGCAAAATGGTTTGGAGTTGTAGTGAATACTATCGACCAAGGAAGCAGTTCACTACGTAAGTTTCCATTGAATAAAACTTCAAAACAATGTGCCTTTGAAGACTTGATATGCTTTTGAGATTTAAAACAAAAATATAAACAAATGTGTTTTTTGTCCGGGTTTTTTTTTTTTAGAGAAAATTTAAAGCAATATGAGCTGCATGATTGACATAGGAAAACAATATTTCAAATTTGTAATTAACTGTTTCAATGACAGGAAAATAGAACGTTTATAAACTTCTGTTGTTCATAATGCCATGGAAGAACTTTTTATAAGCTTTTATTGAAGCAAAATTGAATTATTGTCGTCCTGTACAATAATGATTTCTTATATAATACAGTATATTAGGTTGTACAGAAATATTTCTTCTGAAACATTTTTAAACTTTATTTTGGTCTTATTGATCATAAGGATTTAGATTACATACAGATTAATCATAATAACACATTTTACCAGCAATATAAAATTCTCAAAAATGCAGCTCATATTGCTTCAAAGATCAAAGTAATTTTTAGATACAAATAAACAAATAAATGTATATATTTAAAAGAAAATCAAAACTTCAAAAAGGAAAAAAATCCTATATTGTTTTTTTTTTTTTTTTGTTTTTTGTTTTTGTTTTTTTTTTTTTGTTTTTTTTTTAGAGAGAGATTATTCTCATCAAATATTATGTTATCTTATTTTATCAGCTGATATTTCAGGATTTTTTTTTTTTTTTTAGAAAACTTTATTTTTTGTCCAAGTTGTGATCACAATGGTAAATGCCACTTCTCGCTCTGCGATAAATGTGAATACCACACTGACCACAGTCCTCCACATCTTAGATGTTTACAGCAGGTATATATCTACGAGGTTCTTTTAGTCTGTTTGTTTACGTGTGTTTAGGACGATAATTATTTGTTTAATGATAATTGACCACATCTCACGTTTGCACTGTATTATCAATATTGAATAAAATATCAAACTAACCAAACATGATTTTTCTTTCAAAGGAACAGCAATGTCACACAGACGATGCTCATCATTGTTGCCGAGATATCAAATGTATAGGTTTGTGATGAACTGAACTCAATTTTTTTGCTAAAATTATATTTAACGTTATCAATTGTCACAGACTGTTGATATATTTTTTTTTTCATCACAATATTTAGATTAAAAAT